ACATCTGCTGTTTGGATGAGGTTAAAACATCTGAGGCTCATTTTTAAAGAGGGTTTCCATCAGAACTTTTTCTGGACCTGATGGACTCTAAAAAGGCCTTTTCTAAAGCAGATGGACCCTAAAATACATTTTATTTTAACCAGATGGACCCTAAAAAGGCCTTTTTCTGAACCTGAAGGACCCTAAAATGGTTTATTTCTGGACCTTTCCTGCTTTTCTTTCTCTGATTTAACCTCCCACTCGTCTGCAGTCAGTTTTTAAAGCTTTCGTTGACAGGCTCTTTGCAGTTTTTATGTCATTTTCAGGTCCCCGACCCCACCAGCAGGGGGGGTGATGGAGGTTTGCCTCTGCCTTTACTCCCTGATCCACCAGCTGTTGGCTTTATTTCCACTCTGACATTCGACTTCATGACGCCGATATTTCCTCCAGGTGCATTCTGGGTAAAGCTGGTCGCCATGTTGTAACATGGGGTCGTCATGAGGGGTCCTTGGCCCCACCCCCGGCCGGCTCTGATTGGTCCCCATCCACCTGTAATGAACCTGGCAGCTGCCCGAGCTTCTTCTCCCTCCTCTTTGTTTACATTACAGCAGAAGAGGCTCAGAAATATGATCCGGCCCTCAGCTGGAAACAGAGAGCCTGATATTGTTGAGCCACAGAACAAACGGGGGCTTTATGTCCCTGAGCTCTGAGCGGCGGCCTCTGCCAAATGTTGATGGAATCACTGGCTTTCGACCACCAGGACATTTGCATATTCCAAAAAATAATAAACAACTTCATTATTTATGATTAAGAAGTCAGATTCTGTTTATTTCCTGAACAGAAATGCGAATTTTAGTGGTTGGATGTTGGATGAGAAAAATCTGGTAACTTGGTTTTCTGAAAAAAAGATGAAACACTGACACAAACCTAACAGAAATTACACACAAACACACACAGAAGAGACATAAAGTGACCTAAAAATGCAAAGGTTGGCATGAAAACATACAAAAAGAAGGAAAATAAATTAATCAGACTCACAACTACTAGAAAAAACACTATAAACGGACAAAACACATAAAACCATCACAAAGATGCCACAAAGACTCAAAAAGCAACAATAAAGAGACAGAAAATGACCCAGAAAAAGCTGTGAGAGTTGATTTCAAGATCAGAGTGTGAATTAAAGCTGCTCCTGATGCTCTGAGACAAAGCAGAAACACAAAGTCCTCATTGACTGTTCTCATGAGCTGTCCTCCTCTGTGGTCTCCAGATGTTCAGCACCAGTTTGTGTCAATTTTAAACACATTTTTCTGCACTTTCACCTCTGAAACTCTGAGCTGGGGTCACTTTTCCACCTCGTGGAGCATTTTCTTCTCCAGAGGAGCCAAAACAAAAAGGCGCCTGTTCCAAGTGATGAATATTCTGATGCCAGAGGGGGGGGGGCTGGAAAGATGCTCATCCCGAGGCTGGGCTCATCCTGTGAGCTAAAACCTGACAAAACCAGAACACAGGGGGATGACATCATCTGCTGGGCGTCATGATGATGTCATCCAGAGGCATCGATGTGTCGATCTGACACTAAACGGTCATCTGGGGTCACAACAACAGCGTGAACAGAGGCTCTTCACATCACCACAGCAACCACACCTCAGCTGTCCGTCATCCACACAGAGACGGTCAAAGCTATTCAAGGTTTAAGGTTTTAATAATGTCGGGGGTTAATCCATAATGCCTTGGAGGACATCGAGTGACAGCTTTTGAGTGCATCTCTTAAGTTTTCCTCTCATTAAACACTGTTTTTTTTTCATTCCTAAACCCAAAACACAAGAATAAGAAAACAGAAAATGTATTAATAAGTTAATTAAGAGCAGAGCTGTGATGAAATGGTCTCTTAAGAACTAACAACTGTGAGATCTAATGAAACGGTTTTGTTTAAATGCATATGACAACAGGATACATTTTATCTGCACTCTTCAGTTTTAATCTAGTAATTAGTGATTTATTTATTCATTTTTTTATTGTTTGTATTTATTATCTGATTTAAATTGTCTGTTGGTTTGTGTTTGCTCCCTTTAGAGTTTCACTTTATGGCTGAATTCATGTAAATTACTAATTGTTTGATTAATTTTGGAGCTCATATAACCTCTCTGGGTCCACTCACAAATTCCTCTCTGTGGCATCAGAAACAACAGTTATTATCCCATTTCAGGGGAATCTGGATTAATTAGGAGCTTAGTGATAGAGATCCTCGGGGAGCTTTGTCAGTTGGAGCCCAGCGCGGATTTACACCTGCAACCAGAATAAATTACACATTTGTACTCTGAACAAAAAGAATCGTGCTAACAATACAGTTTTTATAAGACACTATTGTAACTTAAATTAGCATCAACTAGCGTTAGCACCATCTATTTGATAGCTGCTATTTAAATTAGCCTCAGCTGGCATTAGCACCAGCTAATACATAATACCAACTAGCTGACACATGATTTAATTACATATTTAGATACATTGATAGACAATGTTCATAAATCCCGAAGAAAATTGTGGACTCAACAGCATTTTAATCAATAAAGCAAACCAAAGAGTAAAGGAAGTGCACCAACTAGCTTTAACGGTGGTTAACATTAGCCTAGACGCTAGCCTTGACTTCAGATAGGGCTTTAGTTCAGGCAGCACGGCCTAAATCTTCTGTGGCGCTAATGTTCTAAATGAATAAATGATTCACCTCACTAATATCTTTTCTTTAAAGATAATATACCAAATATGAAAAATTCCTCCTAATTTCATTGTACAGTGTGTGTAAAGTTGTTAATATTACCAATCTCTATTTATTCGACTGAGGAGGCTGTAAATGTCACATAGCTCATTTTGTTGTGTCTTATCCAGAAGAGCAAAGGGAGTTAAGTTTGTGCTTCAGATTCTGATGCTGGGAATCTCCCAGGCCAGCGTTTGCATGTGTGTTAGTTTACAAAGGTGGCAGAAGTCACAAAAACTGTCTGAATTACAGCCGCCGGAGCTCAAAGCCGCCCCTCTCTGCAGATGTGAGGGCACAGTGGAGGGCTTTCTTTCTCCAGAGGCAGATACTGAAGATAGTCAGCTGCCTCTCTGCGTGGGCGTCCTGGTCTGCAGCTGCATTCCTGTCAGGGTTCAAGGATGTCTCCCATGTTTGTGTCCCACAGCTCTCTCACATGGCAGCCATTGTTGTCCCATGGCGTCCAGCCCCAGGAACAAATCCAAGGCTCTTCTGGACGGGCCGTGTGGTCGGCCCACGCTCTGGATTCCTGCCCCTATCGGGCGCGTGGGCTCTGGGTTCTGATCCGGCCCAGAGCGGCGACAGAAACAGCTCTGTGTGCAAAGCAGAGTGGACCAAATGGCTTCACAAAACGCTGCCATATGGAGGCACCATCACCCCCAGATCTGGGTTTTTCCTCCTGTTTTGGTCTGAAAAGCAGCTGGATGCTTCCTGCTCTGCTGGTTAAACTCTGACAGAAACCTGTCTGTGGTCACACATCAACATCTGAGCCTCTGGTCCAAACCAGAGTCCAGAGAACTCAGAGGTCTGCTGGTTTTCCTCCAGAATGAGGCTTCATTTCCTCAAAATCAGCTCTGTTCTATCAAAGTTTTTGCCTTTTTTCTCCAAAATCAGCTCTAATTGTTTCCTAAACGTCTCTGAAAGTCCTCTAACTTTATTCCAGAGATGCAGAAAAAATCCAAAAAGCTTCTCCACTGAACCGTGAAACAGATTTAAAGTTACTTCTGAAGCTGTTTACGTTGTTTAACACAAAAATGGACATTCCAGCTCCAGTTTAAAGCTTTAAAGCTGCTCGTGATGCTCTGAGACAAAGCAGAGACACAAAGTCCTCATTGACTGTCCTCATGAGCTGTCCTCCTCTGTGGTCTCCAGATGTTCAGCACCAGTTTGTGTTGATTTTAAACACATTTTTCTGCACTTTCATCTGTGAAACTCAGAGCTGGGGTCACTTTTCCCTGTGTTTCCACCTCGTGGAGCATCTTCTTCTCCAAAGGGGACAAAAAACAAAAAGTTCACTGTTCCCAGTGATGAATATTCTGATGCTGCATGGGTGTTTTCCAGCACAATCCTGCTTTGTCGGCCTGCATGGGGGAGAAGAATTCCCTCCCTGCTCCGATCAGGGCGCGTTTACTGACCCGAAGCTGCTCTTTTTTAGCCTGAAATGAAGTTTATCTGGTCTTTTAGGGGGCAGAAGGGGCTGAAAAAAGGTCAAGATGCATCTGAGAGAGTTCAAAGGTGCAAAGTGAAAGCTGGCAGGTTTGTACAAACTGGGCAGTCACCACTCAGACAGTGTTTTTTTTTGTATAAATTGAAACCTTTTTATTAGAAAAATACTATACAACAGCATTAAATATATTTATATATATATACATTGTGACGGAAAAAAAACATAAAAAAACAAACAAAACACCTAATAAAAACACCTACTAATTCAACAACATCTCTGATTGAAATTAAAAAATAATTTTTAAGAAAAAAATGCTGGCCCACTTTTCTTTGTTGATTTAATGCAATATTGTCGATGTACAATCATCCTGTCTGGTTTTAAAATCTGTGTCGAAACCTGAAGGAGAGATAAATGGGTTATTTTATGGAATAGTTGATTTTTTATTGGATAAGTTGGTTATTTATTGGATGAGTTGGTTATTTATTGGATGAGTTGGTTATTTATTGGATGAGTTGGTTATTTATTGGATAAGTTGGTCATTTATTGGATGAGTTGGTTATTTATTGGATGAGTTGGTTATTTATTGGATGAGTTGGTTATTTATTGGATAAGTTGGTTATTCATTGTTTAAGTTGGTTATTTATTGGATAAGTGGGTTATTTATTGGATGAGTTGGTTATTTATTGGATGAGTTGGTTATTCATTGTTTTCCAAATGTTTTCTCGTATGATTTTATCTAAAGTTTCTTCCCATTGTCGTGTTGCTGCGGGTTCTTTTACGGCGTGCGGTCACCAGGGTGGCCGCAGGGCCAGTTTACCCACAATGCCCAGAGAAGACAGCCGAGGGCGAGCCAACAAAGGCCCCTCAGTGCCGTCGGGGGGGGGGGGGATTTTGCATCAGGCTGTGAGTTCACCCTCAGAGATGAGCCTTGTTGTGGGGCCGCTGGGGGGGGGGGGCAAAGGGCCGGCCCGTGGGGGGGGGGGGGGGGACCCCCTCTAAAGCCCCCCGAAAGAGGGGGGGAAAAGCCAAAAACCCCCCCCCCCCCCCCCCCACGACACCCTGTCCCGTGGTGGTGACACCTTCAAAGCCCCAGACGGGATCCGGAGGAGCAGCGTCCCACCACAGAGCAGCGGTCATGGCAACGGCGAGCACATCAGGACAGAGCGGCTTCGGGCTCGGCAGGAAGAAGAAGAGCCCCGGACTCATGGACCAGATCAGCAAGTTCTTTGGAGGAGACAAGAAGAAGAGGAGCAAGGTGAGCGTGAGCAGCTTCCAGAGACAAGTTTTTTTTTTTTCCTGTTTTGGTCTGATAAGCAGCTGGATGCTTCCTGCTCTGCTGGTTAAACTCTGACAGAAACCTTTCTGTGGTCACACATCAACATCTGAGCCTCTGGTCCAAACTAGAGTCCAGAGAACTCAGAGTTCTGCTGGTTCTCCTCCAGAATTAGGCTTCATTTCCTGGAAATCAGCTCTGATCCAGCATCTAGAAATTAAGGAAACTTTGAGCTGCTGGCTGGAACCAGTCGACTAAAAGCTGGAACTCAGAGCTATGGATACTTTTAGACTTTCTGCTTTAGTAAACAGCCACTCTGAGCTGGAGGACAACAGCTGGACTGTTTGCTGCCATTCAAATGCTTCAGATCAGCATCCTGATCAGCTCTGACAGCAGCAGGTTTTCCATCCAACTCTGGGCCTCTGACCAGAACCAGAGAGGAAACTACTCACACTTTCTGCTTTCTGCCTCCAGAACCAGCTCTGCTTTCCACTAAATTAGCTCTGTTTCAGCAGATATTACAGACAGAAGTGGAAACATGAGTTCAGGAGCTGGAAACAGGTTGATTTCAGAGCAAAATAGACTCAGTTTAACCTGAGAGGACAAAATGAGGCTTAAAGTGTCTCACTGCTCAATTTGTTGAGGAATCCTCTGATAATAGGAGCTGATTTTACTCTAAAATGATGGAAAGACGTCAACTTTTTTACAAGAAGCTGAAATAATCCCACTAATTAATTTAGGAATCAGATAAAACAATAATAATGAATCAGAATATCTCAAATTTAAACTTTTTCCCTTCAGAATTATCTCTGATTTTCCACTTAATTAGTGGAAGTTACGGTTTCTCTGTTTTTGTTTCATGTGGAACCGGAGAAAAATTAATAAATAATTAATCCAAAAGGGCAGATTTCTACTTTTCCTGGCAGCTTCCAGAAAAGCCCAAACTAAGATGATATCAGCTCATTCAAATCAAGAGCAACTCTGTAAATCTTTCTATCTGATGCAAACATTTTCAGACGTTTTAAGTTCATTTTCAGAGTCTTTGAGCAGGTCTCATGTTTCCCATCAGGTTTGCCAGCATGTAGATTTGATTTGATGTGAGTTCCTGATAAAATCCTCAGAACTTTATAGAGTTATGGGATCTTCATCCTGGTTTTTCAGACCTAAACCCTAATTCTGGAAATCCCCCCCTAGATAATAATAATTAGACTTTGTCCTGGTTCAGGTATTTTTTCTTCATAGAGGCTCAATGGGTTTATCTTTAGATTTAAAAGGTCTGTTTAGAGATTTAATTAAATTTGGTTCTGAGGTCCAAATGACTTATTTACAACATTTTAATTCCACAATAAGAATATGATTGGTGTAAAATGTCTAAAAGCATTTTCCTTTAGATTTAAAACAGTTAAAAAAGCAGTAAAAGATGAGATTTCTGATCTCTGTGAACACAACAATTATTTCCCTTCATCTAAAGACCTAAAAAAACAGATTTTTCAGTGATTTTCTACAGAAGTCCCCACATAGATGTTCCTCCATTTAAATGGATCACACACAGTATCCTCTCCTTTCTCAGGTCACATGGGACACCATGCCCTGCTCCCATTGGCCGGTTTGTGTAAAACGTCTAAAAGTATTTTCCTTTAGTTTTCAAACAGTAGTGTCTGATACCGTCTGCTATGAGGCCAAAGATCAAAGGATCCTGGTACAGAGAGGCAGAAATGGAGGGGAAACTGGTCAGAGAAGTGGGTTCTGTTGTTTCTCTGCTCATCTGGACTCTCTGGGCTCTCTTCCCCCTCAGGGCTCATTCAGGGGTCACCTGGCCTCCTCGCCCCAGCAGTCTTCCGCACGCCGCCGGCCCAACGAAAACGCCGTGGTGCACTTCTTCAGGACCATCGTGAGTGTTGCCCCCTCTCACCCATTCCACCTGTCCTACCTGTCCCACCTGTCTCACCCCCTTTGTGCTCTTTTTCCTGGACAATCAGTCGCTCCGATGTCGTTTCGTCGCTTTTTTCCAGAACAATCAGTCACTCTTGGTGTCTCTCTTGCAGGTTTCCTCTCCTCCTCCTAAATCCAGGGTGAGTCCACAGCTGTTCTGTTGATTTTTCTAGATGTTTTCAGGTCGTTCAGGCTGCTGCCAGGGTGACACTCTGCCGCCCTCTGCTGACAGAATGATCAAACTGCACCAACAGAGAAAGCAGCCACACACTGTCTGTTTTTGGTCCCTTAACAAGAAATTAATTCAATACAACAAATACTGCTTTATTTTAATCATCATAAAGAATCAGAACACTACAAAAAATGGACCCCATTGCCCTAATAATAAAACATTTAATTCTATTTACATGTAATTCAAAGTAAACATAACATCAAATAAATAAATCAATAAACAGGATCATCTGAGTCCCTGGAAGCTATTTGGTCAAATTAAGGGTGAAAGTCTTAATAATCCGCCGTATTTCATCATGTTTTGTGGCTTTTATAAGAACCCCACTGACACTTCTGGAGCTTTTTATCAGCATTTAGAGGAACTGATATCCAAACAAAAGGCAAATCCTTCCATTCAGCAGCATTGTAACTCAGTTAGTTCACAGGTTTGTGTTTTTTTGGTGGATTTAAACAGCTGCTTAATCTGGAAACTTAAGATGTTTAAAGCTGAAGTTTGAAAATGAGCCTGGGGGCTCAGAGGAGCCAGCTCTGACTGTTCTGTGGTCTTTCTGTTTCATGTCCAGTGGAGGGACGTCTTGGGTTTGGTAGGTCTCAGCTTCCTGTTCTCTGCCCCCCCCCCCCCCTCTGTGGTCTATGTGTGAGAGCTTATTCACAGAGATCCTGCTGCTCGCTGGCTGCTTTAATCACCTTTAATTCCCCTTCTGCTCCCGTCCAGAGCGGCTCTCTGCTCCTGGATGACTTTGAAACTGCTCGGCTGTTTATGAACCGGTAAACATTTCCTCTCAGGAGCTCCAGGCCTGCCCCCCCCCCCCCCCCTTTTCCTCTATACCCCCCCCCTCCCTCCCCCCCCCCCCCCTCTCGTTGTTGCGGAGTACCCTTTTTTCGTCATCCCCCCCCCCCCCCCCCGGTGTTGGCCTGCTCCCCGTGGACCTCGTCTCCTCCTCCTCGGCCCTTTTTTTCTGCCCCTTAAAGGTTGCCTTTAAACGACTGTCACACTTTCCTGTTTTCCATCTTCCACGTCTGAATGTTTCCTTCACCACCTGCAGCTTCTTCTATCTGCAGAGAAACCGAATCCTGCAGCTTAAAAGCAAAAAAGTCTGATGCTTTTTACAGGGTTTAGGACACTGAAACTATATTAAAGAGTTTTATTGTCACAGAACTCCCCTCGATTTCCTTTAACGGTCCACAAGAGAATTTTGACCTGCTGCCAACATAGATAAACGTACCAAAATGCATTTAAAGAGAACGGATAAAAAACACGGATAGTATCTGTTTAGACTGTGAGCTTTCTGATAAAACGTTTGATGTTTTTAGCTTGTTGGTGGCAGTGGCCTGTATTAGGGAGGCTTCAGCCTAAAATGAGTAGAAGTCCCTTAAAAACTCCTTCATTTCCCTGAATTCAGACTCCAGCGGGGCTCTGTCTGCTCGGTCGTCCTGCTGATGTCTGTGGATCCAGACATCAGCAGATTTCTGCTGCCAGCTCAGAGATTCGGCAGTTTTGGGGACATTTTGGGAGAAAAAAACTAAATATTCCTGTTTTTCTCCTTTCTCTGATGTGTAATCTTCTTTTTTCCAGAAGCAGAGGTCAGTTTAATGAAATGACTCCTCAGTTCTGAGGGACAGAGTTCCTGAAAATTACTCTGTGGAAGTTCAGCTTAAACTGAGCAGAGGAAAAAGGATCTGGGCTCAGAAAGGAGCCTCAGAGCTCACAGGGGTTAAATCTGATGTCTGGGAGCTCAAAGTGTCCATTTTAGGGTCAGAGCTTCATTAAAAGCATCCAGACTTTAACAGATCTGCTGTCACTTAGGGGAACTCTGTATCATTTAGCAGCTCTGAGGCTCTAGAGGAGCAGAACCAGGTTTTTACTGGTCAGTCAGCAGGACAGGTCCTTCTACTTCCTGTTTACTGACCAATAGGGGAGAAGCTGACCCTCTGGGGTCATTTAATTGGTGGATATTCAGCACATTAATGAACAAACATTGCAAAAAGTTTAGTTTAACTATAATATAATGAGTAATTTCTCCATTTCAGGACTTATTTATCAAACTGACCTCCATCACTTAGGTTTCCCCCTGCAGCTCTGAGGCTTTAGAGGACCAGAACCAGGTTTTAGGAGCTGGTTCCAGACCTGATCAGGGGCTGAATCCCCCTGATATTAAACCTGGAGACGCCTCTGATCAGCTGTAAAATGTGTAGAATAACTGTAAAGCTGAAGGTCAGCCAGAGGCTGAGCAGGACAGGCTCCGGTTTGGGGTCTGCGTGGGCTCATGGAGCATCTTTTTCTAGGCCTCGTCGTCGCGTGCCGAGAGCACAAAGTCGCCGGTCCGGAGACGCAGGGACCAAAGCACGCTGTCCAGACTCTTCAGCCTGGTGAGCGCCCACTCCCTCCTGCCCCCTCGCTTAACTCTGAGCCTCCAGCTTCTCCCTCACAAACACTCTGTCCTGTCTGTTCTCCTGCAAACGCCAGTGATGCTCTCGTCAGGGATCAGTGAGTAACGTGGAAAATAACCAGCCAGCCGTCCAGTGTGACGCCATTTAGCCTGCATCCACACGCTTCCACAGCAGCCACAGTGATCCCTCACTTAAGGCGGCCATTAGGTCGATAAGTGAAAAAACGCAGAGTAGAGATGCTTCAATATATGATTTTATATAAAATACTTTAACATTTATACATTATCTTAGTGGTTATACACCATTTTGAGTTTTTAAAAGCCCTCCACACACATTTCTACTCTACATAACACCTTCCCACTGCACCCGTTTCTTTTAAAACACACATTAAATGTTAATTTAGCATGCTCTGGTTGGTCGCTTCCATTAGTCAACCAATCAGGTGTTTGTAAAATCTCACATCGGCCATTAGCATCTCAAGAGGCCGCTGTGTGTTCATACACAAGGTCAATGGTTATTTACTCACTTCTGGACTGGATTCTTTTAGTTCTAGAGTGAAATATTTGTAATATACTGCAAAATTTGTAAAAAACATATAGTACTGTTCAACACGTGCCACGCATGTGGACGGCAAAAAATGGTAAAAAAGAGAAAAAACAACGATTTTACATGAATATTATTTAAATATTGCAACATAGTGAGTCCGCGAAATTTGAACCGCAAAGTAGCGAGGGATCACTATATAACGAACTAACCAGCTAAAAAAGCTCCATTTCCATCCAAACCTAAACCCAAAATGCCCACTGACAACTTCCTGGAAGCACCACCTACCTCTGCTCTCTCCAGTTTCTTCACAGTGCGCGTCGAGTGCTCGACAATCAGCTCCTCACCCCTCTGACTGCTCTATCTTTCTGCCGGGGATTCAAACCTGTTTTTCCTTGTTGTCTCCAGGGAGAAACCAAGTCCCGTCCACCCCCAAAACGCTGGAGCACCATCTTCTGAGGACCAGAGCACAGATCCACCACAGATGGGCCCAGAGGCCAAAGCAGGGGAGGAATCTCTGCCTGTGGAGGACTCCCCTGCTGCGCCTTAACCCACTAACACAAACCTCCTGTTCTTCAGACAGACAGACACCACCGTCTGTCCTCCTCTCTGCAGGAACGCCCGTTTTCCTGCTAACCATCCAGCTGTTTTCGTCGTTTTTTACGAGGTTTTCGAAGGATCTCCGACTGTAAAAACTGCCTTTTTGTCCGATGGTGCTAGTGTCTGCCGTCTGGGGTTTGTGTCTCTACTGTCTGCCGTCGCCAAAGTGATGCTTAAAGGATGCTCTGCTGGTGTTTCCAGACAGAAAAGGGTCCAAAAAGCTTCGACGTGCTGTTTGGGTTTCATTAAACCTCTGTTATTAATGAACGATGCCAGTCTATCAGAAAATAAACGGCCCTTTTCAAATGCACTGTCACGTAACCGGAAATGTCCCGAAAACTAAGAACCGATTCGCCGTCTTTCCTCCCTTTTTTCTCGTTTGATGTTTTGCATTTTCATTTGTTTGCATCTTAGATTAAGTTTTAATGTGATTTGTGTTGCATTTGGACGATGACAGGGTTTGTTTAGTCGATGGTTTGATCGTAAGTGGTTTAAAGGATTCAGGCAGAAGCAGCCAGATGGTGTGAGGAGCACAGTGCTGTGAGCGAGTGTGTCGGATCCAAACGTTTCTCATTGTGATCTCTTTATGTGCTGTCTTTAACAGAAAAGTACTGTAAATACATTTCCTCTGAAGTCCTGACCCACTGTTGTTTCCTCTTTCTGTACAACTCTTGTTTTAATGCACAGCCTAACCGATAAATAACTTACGTCTCATTAGTTCAGAGTTATTAAATATTTCCAAAGGTGATTCTTTTGTGTTTATTTCTGTTTCTGTTGTCAACGAGCAGCACAAACACAAACAGACACACACACATATAAATCTTCAGTAGGACAGGAATTTACACAGCTTCCAGTTAGCAAAGTGAAAACCAAAGATTAAAAAAGCTGGGGATTTTTTAAACTTAATTTCCTTGATTTGATGTGTGTTTCATCCATGTCCTCCTACTTCCAAACATAAGTGTGCATGTCAAAAGTTAGCTAAAAGAAAAGATAATGTCAGGTAGTGTGAAGCCATGACTCAGCAGATAGTTTAAATCGATTCTGGATTATTTTCGGTTTCCTAGAAAAAGACAACACAGCACAAAAGACAAACATTTCTGTTTTCATTTATGTGCAAAATGCAAATTTAATTCATTCTCAAAGTATAAACTCACAGCATTGAGTTTTGAACTCCCACTCTCGCCTCCCCAAGAGGGCAGTTTGTCCCTGAATGAGCAGCAGAGGAACTCTGTGTGTTCCTGTGAAGCTAAAACTCTGCAGCCCAAATTAAGTTTAACCTTTAATGTTGGGTAAACTGATCAGAATCTGAAGTTTAAGGCTATTATGTGTTTTTTTTTTAACCAGAAACGTTGAACTTCCTTCATCTTTTTTCTGCTGCTTCCTGCATCTTCCTGCTGCAGCTTCCTGCATCTTTATGCATCTTCTTGCAGTTTCCTGTTGCTTCCGGCATCTTTCTGCGTCATCTTTACGCATCTTCCTGCATCTTTCGGTAGCAGCTTCCTGCATCTTTCTGCTGCAGCTTCCTGCTGCATCTTCCTGCATCTTTCTGCCATTTTCTGCATCTAGCTGCTGCTTGCTGCATCTTCCTGCATATTTCGGTAGCAGCTTCCTGCATCTTTATGCATCTTCCTGCATCTTGCTGCTGCTTCCTGCTGCTCTGCTCGTCTAGCTTCCGCCGAAGCTCTCTGAGGCCTCCTCTTTGAAAACATGGCCGCCGGCGTCCAGACTGTGCGAGTCCTCCACCATCCCAGAGACGCTGTCCAGCAGCCCGCCCATCTCCCGGTGGAAGTCCACCTCCTCCACCTTCACCTGCCCGGCCGGGGGGAAGGCCCCCCCCTGGGGGAAGCCGTAGCCGTAGCCGTCCTGCGGCGGGGGGGCGGCGGTGGCCTTGGCGGCGCCGGCCAGCCGCTGACATCTGGCCTGGTGCCTCAGGAAGCTGTCCCTCCACACCACCTTCTTCCCACACAGGCTGCACTCGTAGGGCCGCAGGCCGCCGTGCGTGCGCAGGTGCTTGGTCAGGTGGTGCTTCATCTTGAAGGACTTGGAGCAGACGGGGCAGCCGAACGGCCGCAGGTTCAGGTGCGCCATCTTCACGTGGCGGTCGCGCATGCTCTTCAGCGCGTACGCCTTGCCGCAGTGGCACCGGTGCAGCTTCCCCGGGGGGGGGCGCCGGCGACGCCCAGGACGAGGAGGACGGCGTGGGCGGCGAGGGGCAGGATGGGGGGGAGGGCTGGCGGCTGGAGGAAGGAGCCCCACAGCCCTCTGGGGAGCCTCCAGAACCCCCCTGGGTCCCCCCACACCCCCCCTGGTTCCCTCCAGAAACCCCCTGGGTCCCTCCAGAAACCCTGTGGGCCCCACAGCCTCCTTGAACCCCTCCACAGCCCCCTTGAACCCCTCCACAGCCCCCCTGGTTCCCTCCAGAAACACCTTGGTTCCCTCCAGAAACTCCCTGGGCCCCACAGCCCCCCGGAGCCCCTCCAGAACCCCCTTGAACCCCTCCACAGCCCCCCTGGGCCCCTCCAGAACCCCCTTGGACCCCCCCAGAGCTGCCCATAGCCCCTCCACAGCCCCCCTGGGTCACACTAGAGCTGGGAGTCCTACACCCCCCTTGAACTCCTCCACAGCCCCCCTGGGTCCCTCCAGAACCCCCCTGGACCCCCCCACAGCCCCCCTGGACCCCTCTGGGGGACCAGGGGGGTTCTGGCCCATCGGCTTCAAATGAGAAACACTCAAAGACGTCCTCTTCCTCGTCTTCCTCCTCCTCCTCTTCCTCCTTCCAGCTGGGGGCCCCCGCTGTGTCCTGGGCTGCCAGATCCTGCTGGGTCCAGGAGCCCGCCTGCCACTGGAACCGGGCCGAGGCCAGACCCGACGGGCCCGGGTAGCCGCCCCCCCCGGCCTCCCCCCTCTGAGCCCTCTGCTTCATCACCTCCTCGTCTGATGGAGCCGGGGCCAGAGCTGCTGGACAGAACGAGAACCAGACCCGGGTCAGACCTGAATCAGACCTGGTTTAGACCCAGTTCAGACCTGAATCAGACCTGGTTAAGACCTGTTTTAGACCCAGTTCAGGCCTCAATCAGACCTGGTTTAGACCCAATTCAGACCTGAAACAGACCTGGTTAAGACCCAGTTCAGACCTGAATCAGACCTAGTTTAGACCCAGTTCAGACCTGAAACAGACCTGGTTAACACCCAGTTCAGACCTGAATCAAACATAGTTTAGACCCAGTTCAGACCTGAAACAGACCTGGTTAAGACCCAGTTCAGACCAAGTTCAGACCTGGATCAGACCTGGTTTAGACCAAATTCAGGCCTGGT